AAATAGCACAATTTAAAATTATCATAATATTTAATAAATTGAGCATAAATTTAGTGAATTATATGTTGCCTTGAATTTTAGATAAGTTATCAAATTTAGTTTTTTGTTTGAATTACTTGAAATTAGCTATAAATAAAGTTTGTAATTAAATTTGATTTTATGCAACTAAGCATGAAAATATCATGGATTATGTTTAGTTTTTGTGAATCATGTGTTGCATCAAAAGTTTGGGAATTTGTTTGATTTTGCTATAAATTTGAGCAATTAAATTTGATTTCATATAATTTAGTTTAAATTATGTCCAATTCTCTGAAATTAGATTTATTTCTTTTTCAAAGAATTTCTTATAATATTTTTATATTATATCATTACAATGATATTATTATTCCTAATGTGAAAAATAATATCATATTATGTTGTTAAATTATGATAATTTAGGCATATCTTCAGAAATAAAATAAATTATATGTTATGAACTTAAATGGAATTATAATAATATTGAAATTAATATAATTTAGAGGTGTCAAGTTGAAAAACATTAATATATGATCATGTATCAATTGTATGGAACTTTCAAGATAATATAATTTAGAGGTGTCACTTAAGCAAGAGGTAGTCATTTTATTGATGAACTTGGCTCATTTGGTGGATGAAGTAGACAAAAAGATAAGTAGATAGATAAGTGAGTTAGGTTGAACTATTTTGGGATTGCAATTAGTAAAATGTTTAATTGTTTAAGTATTTCAAAAAAAAATTATTTATTTATATTTATTTATATTTATTTATTTATTTATTTATTTGCATTCATGAAAACATTATCACATATAATAGCTCATAAATATAATAGATGATTATAATTAAGATTTATGCTTTGAGTGGTATGTCTAAGGCAATTGTGATTATGCACAGTATAAGCTGTTATATTGGAGTTATTATGGTTATTAACATGTATTTTTAAATGAGATAAGATTTTGGATAGAATAGCCATGCAAGAAAAATTCTACTAAAATTTTATTAAAATTAGATAATTTCTTACTTTAATAAAAAAAAAAAAGTTTGTTATGATTTGTAGATTCTTGGATTTATATTTGTCATGAGCCAAATTAATTGTAAAATTAACAAACTCAAAAACTGGTGGAATTTGAGCTGTTATACAATTCAACCTGAAAATAGGATATAGATATAACTCACCATAAATCTCAAAAGCACACTTTAATATTTCTAAGATATACAGGGAGACTCCACTATTGGAACTTCATTGATTGTGTGGATTTAGCTTCTGGAACTTTATAGTCATTTTGTTAGTTATTATTGTTTGAAAGCACCATATATATATATATATATCATAGTTGAAGAACACAAAATTTACTTGAACTCACGGGTTCTAAACGCTACATATTAAAAAGTTATAAATGGAAACCGTGATATCAATTAGGCTTGCGTTTCGAAACTTCAACAAACGCTAACTTCATGTGCTTTTTTATCTTTGTCGGGAATTGACTCAGAAAGTACAAAAATCATGCAGAATATGACCACGATCATTTGAGTTGGATTTGGATTAGTTTGTGCTTTTGAATTGAATTACTTTAGTCTTGATTCTTGTAGGCATGGGACCCATTAATTTGTACTTGGAGGTCCTACATTATTTGATTTTAAAATAAAAAAGAGCACACTAAAAATAAATTTAGTGAAAAGGTATAGTTTAAATTGTTTTTTTGGCAGAATAACACTTTTAAAATTATCATAATATTTAATAAATTGAACATGAAAGAGGCTGAATTACATTGAATTATTTATTGTGTTGAATTTTAAATAAGTTGTCAAACTTGATATTTTGTTTGAATCACTTCAAATTAGATATGAAAGCTTGCAATTAGATTTGCTTTTATATAATTTAGTATAAAAATACCATGAATTATATTTAATTTTTGTAAAGTATGTGGTGCATCAAAAGTTTGGGAATTTGTTTAAATTCTATATAAATTTAGACAATTGAATTTGATTTCATACTATTTAATTTAAATTATGTCTAATTCTTTGAAATTATATTTATTTAAAATTTCTTATAATATTTTTAGGTTATGCATTACAATTATACTATTATTTCTAATGTAAACAGTAGAATTATAATAATATTAAAGTTGATCTATAATGATAAAAGCAATGTACTGTTAACTATTAATTTAGACATATTATATATAGAAATAAAACAAATTATATATTATGTACTTAAGTAGAATTATAATAATATTAAAGTTGATATAACTTAGAAAATATCAGTATTATCATATATTGATTGTATATAATAATAATTTTAAGACAATGATAGATTTTTTTTTGTTTATGGAATTTTTAATTTAATATTAGTATTGTATTAATATTAAATTGGATTGAGAGGCTGCCTACGTGATTTGTAATATTAATAAAAAACAAAAACGATATATTTATTTATGTGTACTAGTGATTCACTATTTGTCACAATATATTTATAAACTTTAGAGAGATATTAACTTTTATCAACCCAAAGACGAGGTCACTTAATTAGGAGATAGTTATTCTATTAATGAACTTGGCTCATCTAGCAGATAACACAAACATAGATAGAGAAAAAGATAAATTAAATAAAATTATTTTGAGATTGTAATTAGTAAAATGTTGGATTGTTTAAGTATTTTAAATTTCTTATGTATGTTTATTTATTTACATTCATCTTATAAAAAAACTATCATATATAATAGTTCATAAATATAATAAATAATAATAATTGAAGTTTGTGTTCTGAGTGGTACTATCAAGGCTACCTGTTAGTATAAACCATATGAGATATTATATTTAAATTATTATGGTTATTAGTATGTATTTTTAAATGGGATGAGATTTTCAAGAATCCCTGTGCAAATTTTTTTTATTAAATTTAGTTAATAATTTACCTTAAATCTCACAAGATCCCTTCAAATTTGTAAAATGTAAGGGGAGATTGATTTAGTTTATGAAACTTTTTAGTCATTTCATTAATTATTACAGTTTCAAAATATAACATACAAAACAAAAAAGTTATGTTTTATTTTATTTATTTTTACATTTCAAAAGTACAATACAAGAATATAATAAAAAAACAAACTTAATAAAATTAATTTTTTTATATTTTCAAATTATTTTTATAAATTAATATCAAAAATAATTTTTAAAAATAAAAAATATTTTAAAAAATAATCTCAACTACTCTCTCAAACATCTTCTAAATAAACATAAAATTTACTTTAAATGACGGTTCTAAACTCGAAAAAAATGAAAATTTCAACATGCTCTAACGTGTTATTCGTCAAAAAAAAAAATTGCATCTGTAGAAATTTAACTTTATGTGCAAATAGCACAAAATAGGCAAATTATTTATTGAACTTTTACAAGTGGAGTAATGATGGGCTTTCCAACCTGGGCCGTCCTCTTAATCAAATTCTGGCTTTCATGTGCCTGAAACCACGGTCATGGAAAGTGAGGAAATCATATTTCACTTTCTAAAAAGCTACGAATTGAACATATTATTTTTTAAAAAAATTATGTTGATTTTGCTTAATATTTTTTTTTCAAAATAAATTGCTAAATGCATTAATAAAACTGTATTTAATGAAAAATACTTTCTTAAATTTTCTTTATTTGCATGAAAAGTATTTTCTCAAGTCCTTTTGTCCTTCTTTTTTGTTTTTCATGCTCGTTGACACTTTTTACACATATAAGAAATTATGGTTCAATATATGTATAAGCATTCCAAGCTGACTTCTTCTTTCTTTCTTTTTTGAGATAGTGCCAACATCATTTTCAATTCAATAACGAAACACATTGATCTTCAATTTAGTAAAAGACTTGTGTAGTTTTTTTCATGGATTATTATCTATCAATATAGAATTTTTATTTAAAAAAATAGCGTTGGGCCAACTTTTTGGTTTGGAACTTACTTATCTTATTATTATTATTATTTTCAAATTTATCTTCTTCTTTTTCTTTTTTTCTTTTTTAAAGTAGAAGTCCAAGATTTGTACAAACAAATGTAGTAAAAGTTCAAGATTTGGACAAATGGATGCCCAGAATTTGAACATCCTTGAAGTTTGCTAACCTTCACAAATTTCTTTTTTGTTTTCTTGGGTAACTACGGAGCAACCTCAAAATTCGTTGTTCTCAATAGAGGAATCTGCATATTTTTTTAACAAAAGAAAAAAGATTGCATTGATAAAATGATAATTTACAACAGAGATAAAATATAATAGATGCTAACCCTTGGTAGATTTTAAAAGGTGAGGTAATGTGTTAAGATGAGAGGGATGGAGGGAGGAGTGAAATAGAGTGTAGGAGACAGAGGAAAAGAGAAATAGTTTGAATTTAAAAGAGATTGAGTTAGAGCAGAAGAGGTGGATATGAAGATAAAATGTATGTTTAAGTGATAGAAAGAGAGAAAAGAATGAGTTACATTGGGGGGGATATATAGAGAAGAAGAAAATGAGTTAGAGGAAGAGAGGTAGAAAAAAGAAGAAGAAAAAAGTGTTATTGGTGAAAGATATAGAGTCGTCAAAAAGGACATGAAATTTGAGTTATATGTAGAATATAAAGATTTTTGACAGATTTTAAATGAGAAAATAAAAATAAAAATGTATGTGCAATAGTGACAAGTTCTTCTCTATGGTTTGGTTATTGAGAGTAGTTATTCACTAGTGGATGGCGTTTAAAAGTTTGTCCGCAATATAAAAAAATAAAATTAAAATTTTGATGTAAATTTAAATAAAAAAGATGTAACTTGAAATTTTTAAATTTTAAATATTTATGATTGGTGTGACTAAATTCATGAACATAAAATGTCATGAATAAAAAATGCCTTGATTTTGTGAAATAACACTGAAATTACTATATTAGTACATATATATATCTCAAAAAAAAAAAAACTAAATTGAACTATATATATACCCCTTCCATTCATTCTTGGTTTGTTTCCCTGGACCTGCAGACTGGAAATGGTTAAACTCAGTACTGCATGTGCTTCAGGAATGAATAACGAATTTGAAGGAGCAAGAGCATCAAATGGGGAAGATTATGACATGACTAGAAATATTGTGACACGGCTTAACAGTATGGTGAATTCGTGCACACCTCAACAGGACCTGTCTGAGTGCTGTATCTACAAGGTGCCCAATTTGCTTAGAAACGTAAAACCGGAAGCCTACACTCCACAACTGATTTCAATAGGTCCTCTTCACCACGGCGATGCCAAACTAGAGATCATGAAAAGGGAGAAATTGATATGTTTTAGAGAGTTTAAAGGGAATAGGATGAGTGACGAGAGAATTATAGATCTTGTGAACATCATTCGGAATAAAGAAAAGAATATCCGACAATATTATTCAAAGAACTTCAACGAAATTGGGAGCATGGATTTCATACTGATGATCCTGCTGGATGCCGTCTTCATTATTGAGTTTATAAGGGAGTCAAATGGTGATGGAGCTGGTCGTAAGAATTTAGAGCCTTGGATGATGTCCGACATAAAAGAAGACTTGAAGCTACTTTAAAGCCAACAACCTTTCTTCATTATTCAGGAAATATATGACGAGGTCATTAGCGCTCTCCAAGAGTTACCAAGCTTTCCTTTTCTTCGTCTTGCTACCTCTCATTTGGGAAAGTATGGGATTTCAGATGAGGTACACAACGACCCGAAAGTACAGAGAAGCAGGCACTTCACTGATTTACTTAGGAATTTAATGCTGGATGGAGTCAATGTGAGACGTTTTACTTTTGATAATATCAAGCTGAAATATAGCGCCGTCATGCTTCGCAAGGCAGGAGTGAGGTTTCGGGTCGCCAGAAAGGAATGCTTGCTTAACATAAGATTTGAGAAAGGAGAGTTGGAAATACCATGCTTGGAAGTTGATTACAGCTTCGAACGTTTTGTACGAAATATCATGGCCCTGGAGCAGTGCTACAAACCGTTTGAAGCTTACATATGCAGTTACATTAAGTTTCTGGACCATCTTATCAACAGTGCAGAAGACGTGGATTTGCTAGTTGGAAAGGGAATCATCCTCCACTGGCTAGGTGACGATGCCGCACTTTCAAATATGATTAACAAGCTTAACGAAAATATTGGCGACACTTCCGCTTATTATGATGATATCTGTAAGAATATGAATCTCCACTATGAGAATCGCTGGAACCGTCTGAAGGCAACCTTGGAACTTGGATATTTCGCCCATGTTTGGAGAGGTACGGGAACTGTTGTAGCAGCTATCCTCCTGATCCTCACTTTGATACAGACTATCACTTCCGTAAAATCGGTATTCTAGGATTTTATCTTGTTTTGTTTCATTATTCCTACGTAATGATGGGCTGGACTGTTATTGTTTAGATTGCCATTTCATTTTGGGTTTGTGTAGTTCTGAACTAATAACATCGTATCAAATTCTTGTTGTATTGTCCAAAAATTGAGTTTGTACTTGTTTCCTCTCAAAATTCTCTTCTTTTAGGATCATCTTCAGATTAAACGAAGCTGAATAATTAATGCATGATCTCGATTTCAATATCCCCATTTCACCAACAATGAATTTATCAGGTTTTATACATTGTTGATCATTTTTTCTCTTGTTTAATACCTGGGTATTTTTATTTTTTTTTAACATTAGATATTAACCTTAAAGCGTCTAGAATATGTGTCGTGTTTAATGGTTTTAAATGGCAAAATTTATTTCTGTTTCACGATTTAAAATGGCAGAGTTTAATTCTAGCAGTAACGGTTTTCCATATCTCTTACATAAATAGGGGATAGAGGGACTGTTTAGAGACATAGAAACTAAGCAAAGTCTTCTATCCACTGCCTTCTTATACTCCCTCTTTTTTTTTTTAGTAACTGTCAGGGGATGACGTAGAACAACACGCTAAAATGTTTTTTGAGAGGTATTATTGAAAAGAAAAAAGTTTTAAATTTAATAATAAAATTATAATTAAAGTTTAAAAATTGTAACTCAATATTATGATTATGATAAATCCTATGATTTGAAAGAATTTGAGTAAGAAATTGGTTGTGTAAGAATTTAAGTGCAGGGTCTTGACTGCTGATGAACTGATTAGAAGTAATTTCATTGCCTCCCGACTTAAAATCCTGTATAGAGCTCAAGAGTCTACCTGGCATCAGAAGTCAAGAATTCAGTGGTGTAAGCTTGGAGATAAAAATACCTAATTCTTTCATTTAGCTGCAACAACAAGATAGAAAAAGAATCAGTTTGCTTGCCTGGAGGATGATGGACATATCTTATCTAAACCAATTTATGTGAAGCTAGCTGTCTTTCACTTTTTTCGCAACTTATACTCCCACCAGAACAGACCTAGAGCTTCATGTACAAATTTGGAATTCTCAAGGCTGAAGCCTTCATCCTCGGCTGCTCTTGAGTTGCCATTTTCTGCAGAAGAGATTACAGCAGCTGTGCGGGATTGTGATGGAAATAAAGCTCCAGGTCCTGATGGTATTAACTTCCTTTTCATCAAGAAAGCATGGAACATTATAGGTGAGGATATTATCCAGATGGTTGATGAATTCTATCGGACTAATCTCCTTCCTGCAGGTATCAATAACACCTTTGTTACTCTTATTCCAAAGATTAAAGGTGCTAACAAGCCATCAAATTTCAGACCTATTAGTTTGGTGGGCGGCCTATACAAGATCTTCTTAAAGATTTTAGCAACCAGGTTGAAACATGTTATCTCAGAGATCATCTCTCATCATCAAAATGCTTTTATCAAAGGGAGACAAATTTTAAACAGTCTCTTGATTGCAAATGAAATCTTTTCTTTCATCAAAAAGGAAAAGAGTAAAAGTTATCTTTTAAAATTAGATTTTCATAAAGCTTTGATTTAGTATTATAAAAATATATTAATGAAATCATGGCTAATATAGGCTTTGATAATAGATGGTGAGGGTGGATTATACAATGTATATCAACAACAAAAATGTCTATGCTTGTTAATGGGTCTCCCACGAAAGAATTCTACTTAGCAAAAGGCATGCGCCAAGGAGACCCTCTCTCTCCATTTCTCTTCAACATTGCAGTCCAGGGCTTGAGTTGTATGTTATAAGGTGGTTGTGATTTGGGTTTGACTTCGGGTATAAATATTGGTAATTCAGAGCTTGTCATATCTCAATTACAGTTTGCGGATGACACCCTTGTGTTCAGTTCAGATTCTTTACATAGCATGCAGAACATTAAACGTATCCTATTATGCTTTGAACTTCTATCGGGGCTGAAGGTCAATTTTTATAAATGCAGTGTTGCTATCCAATTTTTACTCATGTTTTAACATATATTTTTTAAAAAAATTAAAAAATAATTATAAGGGTTTACATGTGACGATAACATAGAACATCAGAACTGATATTAAAGAGGCAATATGTTAAGGAGATAATTATTGAATCATAGATAATTACTACAATATAAAATATTATAGATATATGATTTGATTCATGCTGGTTATGAAAAATAATCACTATAATATAAAATACAATATATATAGGATTTATTGATGCTAGTTATACAAAATAATCTCTGCAATAATGTTTTGTAATATTTCTTTAAATAGTAGATGTAAAGATTTTTTTATATAAGTGAATACTTGTATAACCGGGGAGAAAAAAAAAAACGGAGGGAGGAATTTTAAAAGAAAAATACAAAAAAAAAACAAAAGGAAAAACCTAACCCTAAACCTATCTAACTAAATAGCCGCCCCCCACCCGGCTTTGATTTTTTATCTGAAACCAGCCGCCCCTCTCCCCTTGGATTTGGTTTCTTCTTCCTTCAACCGGAGGCCTATACACTGTCCCCTCTCCCTCTCAGCAACACAAAGCCAGCGCCAGATCCTCCCTCACAAACCATCTCTCCCCGCCATTCAGCCTCCAATAGCAGCGGCCAAACAACAGCCCACCCAGCCGTTTCTCCTCACCATCACCGCGTATCTCGTGAAGACCCGGCCACCCTGTTCTTTCCTTAGTCTCCTTCAACCGGCCCCGAAACCAGCCAAAGGACAGCAGCCCCCACAGGCCATTCATCCCGATCTGCTCATTCCCCTCTAATCGAAAGGAAGCAATCTGTCGGCCATCATCTTCGCCAAGACATGAACCGGCCACCGACAGCTGCACAGACCGGACGGAAACCCAAAGCCTAGCAACCGGCGGCCCCCTTTGTCTTGCCGCCACCTGAGACAGAGAAGAATGGAAAAGGAAAAGAAAAGAACAGATCTATAGAGGGAAGCAGATCCAAAACGGAGAAGAAGAGAAAGAAAACAGATCCGTGAACAATAAACAAAATTTAAAATCAACTGCCTGTGTTTTTTTTCCTTGTTGCAGGTCATGGTGAAAGCCACTGCCGGCAGGACAGTGAAGAGGGGAGGAAGCCGTTGCAGATCTCCCTTGTCGTTTTTTTCCGGCGTCGCGTGAGCCCACGCGCTGCCACTGTTGTTGCAGTGCAGAACGTTTACCTACAGTTTCTTTTTTTTTTTGGGGTGTGTGTAATTTTTGAATTGTTAAGGTCTTGTTTGGGTAATTTTAATTTTTGTTGTTTTGTAACATATAAAGAATGATGTGTAAAAAGTGATGGTGTGTTGTTTGTATTTTTTTATAAAATCAAAAGGATAAAAAAACAATTTAATATAATCAAGTACTGAAAGGATAAATAAAATTAAGTTGTATTTTTTATAAAAATATAATAACATGTTTTTATATATTTTTTGAGATTTAATGACTGATTTATTAAAGTTTTAAGAATTTGATTAATGTGTGGGTTGTTGACTTTGTTTTTTTGTTTTTTTACAAAGAAAAAAATATAAAAAATATTTTTTTTATGTTGCACATGGTTAATATCCTAATATATTTTGAATGTTTTTTTATATGAAAAAATATTGGAAGTTTTGAAAAAAAGTGTTTTCGCATGAATTTTTTAAACACAAACTTCAAAAGGTATTGATCAATATTTCAAAAAATATAAAAATCTTATTTTGGAGAGAATTTATCTATTATTTATTGTTAATGTTTGGATAAAAAAATTCTTAAAGGATGAATATTTAAAATATTATTGGGAATAATTTGTTATTATTTACTATTAATATTTGGATAAAGAAACTCGGAGTGGTAAATATCCAAAATAATTTTCTAGTAATAATAAATTAGCATATATCCTTGAAAGAAACTTTAATTATAATCGAGGATATTTTAATTTTTTACTCCACGGTTTACGAGCCGTGAGAGTATAAAATACTAAGACTAAAAAATAGGTTTTTTAAAGCACTCTAGATTTCTAAAGTTTTGTACCTTTTCTTGCAATTTATGTGTCGCAAAGTCTTGAAATATCAAGGGAAAAATGAGCTTGTAAAGCATATGGAATTTTCTTAGATTTCTATCTTAATAAATTTAGTTAGAATTTAAACGAGAAAAACTTATGGAATTGGAAAACACCAACACCATAGCAATTATAAGACAAACCAAACACTAAACAGTTTACCTTAGATAGGGCGTACTAAGGGTGCCAACACCTTCCCTTTACGCAACTAGTCCCTTGCCTTAGAATCTTTAAAAGACCAGTTAGGTTTTCTAGTGACCATAATACTAGGTGGCGACTTCTTTTTACACAAAAATAAAACTAAGAGACCCCAAAATCAATCGACGGTCGTCGCGACGCCGCGCTCCACTCGCGAAGGTGTGACAGGATAGTGACTCCACTGGGGACCCTTAGACTAAGCTTGGTAATTGTTTTTTTTTTATGCTATACATTGTTTTTTTTTTAATTATGAATAATACTTTGTTTAAAAGCTTTAGCATGCATTTTTATATTTTGTCATATATGGTATAGTCATGCATCACTTTATTATTATTATCTTTTTTTAGGGCACACACATGTAACTTTTAAGTTAAGTGGGGAACTAGCAGCTTGCCTTATGACTTGAGTCAAGGTTTAAGTTTGTGTAAACCCCAACTCTTTGCTGAGTGTTTAGACTGATAGTGATTGGTATATGTGTCATCCGAGTATCTACTAAACCCTTATATTTTCTTTGCGAGGGTGATCATTGGGATAACAAGAGACCCTTTTTTTAGAGACCAAGTAGTAAACCTATCATATGTCTCACGTAAAAGAACTATAACCTATCCTTAGGTTGTATGCTCCATAATATCTTTTGCATTAAAACAAGTCTAACCCTAAGGCACCTTGAATTGTAGGACTTGTGAACAAAATAGCCACCATTGCTAAATTTTCCATCATAGAATATGGAAAAATTTTGAACTGTCACAATTGACTAAAGAAGATTATCTTAGAAGCGATGTTAAGAAGCTATCACCAATTAAGAATAGGAATTGCATTATGAATGAGGTGAACAAGTTAACAACTCACTTTCAGAATGTGGATAAGGATGTATTTTTTAGGAAATACAAACATTTGGTGGAAATTGCAAAGTTATAAGTTTTAAACCTAGTTGTGCGAGTCTTAATTCATTTTTGGGATTCAGACTACTAGTATTTTTCTTTTAAAAGCATAGACCGATGTCCCACTATAGAGAAATATGAAATGTTAATTAAGTTTCCAAACAATTTATATAGGATTTATTTCCCTTTAAGATTTTATAAGATCATCCTCGAACTATCAAAATTGCTTAGAATCGTCAACTTGGCAAAGTTTTTGGAAAAGAATGCTATCGATCTGAAATTGAGGATGCTAGAAATTAAACTAAAAAAAGTTAGGATTAGAAAAGGAGAGATTGATTTCCTTGGGCATATTTGGCCTTGTATTGTTCCCAAGTCAAATGGGTGTAATGAGTTTAGAGGCCGCCGCTACTTATGTAGAGTATGAGAATACACAAATCAATCTAGTAGTTGTTATTTTATCTGAATCCATCTTAACAATCAACCATTATAGGAGGACCGAAAAAGGAGCAATGAGATGCTATATGTAGTTATATATTTAGATGGTTAGTCATATCGAAACAAAAAACTTGTCTTCAATAATTTTTGGTGGTTCACCCAAAAAAACCTTGAAATTAATAAAAGAAGAAGAAGAAGAATGGGGAGAACTAGACAACCAAGGTTAGGTTGAAAAATTAGAAAGTTTACCTAATAGTGATTTCAAGTGGAGAGCCTATGGTTAATGGTAGTGAAAGTCCTAATAAGTTGTTGATAAAGATGTTGGGTGTTATTGGTAGGGATTACAAGTTATGTGAGTTATGCTCCTGCCTTGGTGGTAAGGCAACTTGGGGGCATGTAGTTTGTTCCAAAGACTATGAGAATTGCTCAATTTTTTGGTTTGTTCAAAGATCTTATTGCAAAAGAAGTTTTAGAGATCATCAAACAAGATTGGAGGCATCTGGTTTTGGTTAAGATAGAAGGTCTTAAAGGATCTAAGTGTAAGTGAAGGATATGCAAGATGGAAAGACTTAGCTACTTTAGTCATGCCTTGTGTAAGAGTCAAATCTCCCAAAACTGTAGAAGATCCTATTAAAAGAAAAAAAGGTAAACAATGAAGAGAAGTTAAGAAGACAAGTGAAAAAAAAAATTCGGATAGAGTTGAGCAAAAGCAAAAAAGACAAGGCAATGTTGTAAGAAATGAT